TTTCCTTCAGTGTTTGGAGTTGTTCCTAGATAGGTCGGTAGTTGTGTCAATATCGGCAGCTTGTCCTGAATTGTACCATTAGAGCACAGACTTTTGTCAACTTTTCGACAGCATAAAGGATGCATCTATCGTTTGAGATCTGCAAGAGGGTCAGAGTGGCATACGGCGAACAAGCATCGATGCTATCATTGTGCAACCCAAAGGCGTACCACAAGCCTGAAGTTTTCGTCCTTCTTGTAGATGCCCCTCAGATATTCCATAAGATTATCAGTATCGAGATAGGAGCACCTGAGAGGGAGAGCGTGTTGTTTTTCCAACTTCTTCTCCTTCCGAGCCATTTCATTGGAGACGATCAAACAGGAAACTTGAGCAGGCCTCCAACTTGGAAATTTGGTAGTGGGCGATGCTGGCTCAGACAAGGATGTCTGGGTGGGCACAGGACGAGGCGCTCCCCCCCTCCCCCTTCCCCCCCCCTCAAAACATCTGCTATTTACGTGGTCCTCTCCGTCTGGGCGTCCGCAGAGCCTCAAGTCACCGGGCAATCACTTGCATTTTCAAATCATGGCATTCGTGCTCTTTGAACTTCATATCCCGAGTGGCTGCATTGCCCGATGTTGCATTTTCCCCCCTATTGGACGCCGCACAGTAACCGCGGTAGGCGCCAACAAAAACTATTGGGAGCTCAAATGCAAGTTTAGCCCACAAAGTTGCATGATTCGACCAGCAAAGCGTCATCGGGCGCGTTTGGCATCCATAAGGGGGGGTCCTTTATCATGCACGTGTGCGGTGTGCAGGAGGCATCCCACAGCCTTGTCTCTCTGGGCACCACCAGAACGACAGGGAGTGCAAACGTTAAGAGACGTAGGAGATTCACCACGTCTCATGAACGGAGCAACCGGTTCCAGTTTTTATTCCAACAACAGCGAAACTTACCTTACCCAACGATACATTCATGGACCGTGCCTGGAAGACCGCCAGATGGAGCTGGGATAGGGACGGCGAAGGGTCTGTGAAAGCACACCCCCTCTTTCGCTACCGCGCTGGTCGGCCTGCATATGCAGTGCAATTATCGTGGCAGAAGGGGGATGGCACCCCGCAATTCGACAAGAACGTAAATTCTTGTCAGATCAAAGACGAGAAAGATTGGAATACCTGGCTTGATAAAGTATGGGAAACTCCCAATATTGCCCGAGTCTCGCTAATGATCAATAGTTCCCACAGCCAGATTCAAAAACAGTCGAAGCTACCCTCAGCTTAGTGTAAGTAATCTCACTCCGACTTTTTTTCTTTAAAAAAAAAAGAAAAAAAAAGAGACTAGACCATCGTGCTGGGTAAAGAGCTGACGGTGATGACCTAGCATTTGCCCCCGTTATCTAGACACAGTACACGGTGGGGAGACCATCCGGAACCCAGGAATCCTGAGGAATATCCCACTCCCCAATGAACCAACCTTCCGGCGCTTGGTCGAGACATTCCACATCCACCAGGTTACCAAGACCATCATCAACCGCGGAGCATGGCCCATCATCCTCAGGAACGAAGACCATTCGGGTCTAGACAACAGGATTTGTGAGTACTATGTTCATCTTCCAACATACCTACAATCCAGAAATACCTCGGAAACATGAACTCACCAACCCAGACTACAACCTCCGTTGCTCCAACGCCCTTGAAAACGACACTGCCCTAGCCATGACATTTATCCCCTCCAAGCGACTCACCTACGCTGTTCTCTTCGGCTATACTGAGGAGCAGATCAACCTCGTCCTTGAACGTCTGGCCTTTGCAGAACACGCCTCCCTTGAACCATTCACTCTTATCAACACATTCATCGAGCTTGAGAAGATGCAACGCTTCGAACAAGTCGAGCGCCATGCCGATGAAATGGCAGATTTGATCGAAAACTTCCAGTTGAATGCCGTCACGGCGGCGGCGAAGTTGTCTCGTCCCGTCCATGAGGATGACCCTCGGGATCTGGTTGGTCTCGCGGCAGAGATGACGCTGTTGAGGAATGGGCTTGTCAGCTGGGCGAAGGAGCTGGAGCGGCTCAAGGGCAAGGCGATTAACGACTTTGAGACTGCCGTTGGTGGGGATCCAAAGTTGCCGCTGTTGAATCCCGGTGAGTATCTGGATCGGACGGTGGATGAGTATGAGACAATGGTAAGGAGGTGTGAGGGGATGCTCTCGCAGGTGTCTATGACTTTTCAGATGGTGAGCTTTACCTGCTGGTGATAGATGGTTCAGTACTATACTAACGGTTATTTTGAATGGTAGGAGACTTCGAGCATTGCCCGACAAGAGGTGAATAAGATGAAGGCTCTTGCTATACTAACAATGGTGTTCCTGCCAGCGACGTTCGTTGCGGTCAGTTCAGCGCTATTCTACTTTGAAGAGACTCGTAGCTGACAGCAGGCTGTAGACATTCATGTCTATGGGGCTATTCAATTGGCATCCCGACGAAGGCAAGGAGATCATGTCGCCATTTTGGTGGATATACTTTGCTGTTGCTGGCGGACTCACCCTTATCGTCTTTCTTGTGTACTTCTTCTGGTCACGTCTCAGGGATGCTTGGTCCCTCAGGGGAGAGAATTCGGATCGCGAAATTGTCTGATGGAAAAAGGCTGAGCGGTAGGATGATGTACCGAGCCTATACCGGCAGTGAGAAAAATTCAAATACTACCGACTTCCCGGGCGCGGATGGCACTGGCCAAGCCCAGCGGGTCTCCATGAGTCATGAAGGGAAACGTCAGTATTCGACGTAAGTACCAAGGACGTGAAGGAACCTCCACAACAGTAAACACCACATAGTTGGAGTAAGTACTAATACCGGCCGTGGACCATTAGTAGGAGGTTAGCAACACTTGGATTAGACCCTAATTCGTAGGGCACGTGAGACAGGCGGCTAAGGCCCTAGGCCGATAGGCAGCTAGGAAGGATCTCCATGTATCTTAGTATCATTCTATATCATACATAGCCTCCATAAAGAGACAAGGGCTTCGCGACGAATCCTCAAGAGGAAGAAGCCCCCCAGTCATTTTGGAATAGACCTAGAAAGATTATCAGCTAAACTTCAGCAAAGCTAAGGGGTAATACAACCTTATGAACCCTTCTGTTTCCTTCTGACTTACAACTATGAAGCATCGTCTGTTACCCTCTGTGACGTCGTTCCATGTCCCTACATCAATCCTCCTCCCTTACGATACTACCACTTTAGGTTACGAAGATTATCTCCCTTACCGTCGTGTAAAAGCTCTATATCAGACTAACACCACTACCGGGCAAGCTGGTGCCAAAAGAAACAGGACACAATACAAGGTAATACTTCGCCATAGAGCTAACTTTCTATAACAGTTAAGTACTCTTTTGTATAGTCATCCCACCCTCTTCTACCAGCCAGTCATCTGATCCTCGCCCTCTATCACATCGTACATTCACACCACCATCGAGTCCACCAATTTATCTATCCCCGGTTGTTAAATTCGTTCCCAACCAGCGAAAAAAAGATCTTTCAAGCCAGGGCCAGTAATACTAGCATTGGAACGGATATACTGCTTTGTATTCCGCCAGCAATTCTCAATCGGGGAAAGGTCTAGAGACCCAGGAGTGTTGAAATAGTACTTCAAATGATGCTCTTCTTTCTAGACCTTCACGATGTTAGAATTTTGCCCTATTCCATGCCCTGAATCGCCATCCTCCTCCAGAATAAACTGCTGGCCGTCATTGAGCCAAGGACCAACTACCTTTTCCAAGATCTCATCCTTATACGTTTAAAGGCTCATTTTTCCGTTTATGTTTATCAGTACTTAGTAGATATAGAGTTCTGATTTAAAACCCCAGCCCACAGCGGCCCAAACGTGGTATCGTTCAACCGGTGTCGATTTCTCTTTCTTCGGTTCGTGATAGATACAACCGGGGCAGTATCTTTCCCTCGCGGCAGGCGGTGAAATGGCATTCGTCAGACCATCGAATATCACGCCAATCCTATTTCTTCGGGCGGTAGATTAACGCTTTTTCAGCATCTTTTACCCTTCGTTTAGCGTTGGAAGGGGAAACCCAACCCTTCTCACACACTATGCACTTCCTATAGTAAAGTGTACCCATCGCTCGCTCAACAGTCCGAGAACTAGCCTTGACGCCGGCCTCGTTGGCAAGCACTTTCCAACTTCGTCGACGGGCTTGGAACCTATATTTCCAAAGGATTTCCTCCATTCTTTGTAGGTCGGCTGGGGAAATAATAGGTGGCCGGCCCCGTGTCTCAACAACTGGATACCTTCGATCGAGGCTACCATTCAGGATCTCGTATCCTTACGTTTTTCGGACATGGAACTGCCGGAACAAATCGGCTTTGAAGTATGGAATATGGTGGTCATCAAGGTAAGTCTTTGTACCTAGAAGGTGGGCCCTGACTGGAGTAGGGTAATGGGGCGGCATTGTAGTTAATAATGGCTTTCTTTCTATTATTTAGAGGCCAGAGGAAATTATAATAGCCTCTGGAATAGTGGTCTGAATGGTGGCGTGTTAAGGAAATGATAGTGGCTGTTAGTCAGGAGCCACTCAGGCCATTGCGTGCACGGGCCGCCGTCCACTGCGTTTGGTTTCTTTTGACACCAGCTTGGGTATTTTCTTTTGGCTCCGGCCTGCGTAGTGTGCAGTGTTTCTAACACGTAGTGTGTCTGACACTACCTTATGACTCATGTATACATCATCACTTAAATGTGGCAACTAGATAAAGCCGACGGGAGGCAGCGGCCACTTTGCTGTCGACGACAAAAACTTCCGAGTTCTTCTGGCTGAGGTGTAACATGAAGTAGCGGTAGGTGGACTCAAGCTTGTGATCAGGATGGCAGCATCGGCCCTGCCATGTCCCGAGATACTGAGGTTGACATTGCCAGGTTGCTGTCCGCCGCACTGGAAGTAAAGTACGTCTCACTCAGGGGTACTCACTGGGACACCACGCGACCACCAAAAGAAGCGATTGCGGAGTGGCCGATCAACAAACAGGGATAATAGTATAGCGGTCAGTACTTCTCATTGTGGACTTGTTCTCACAGCGCCCAGAGGATCCAGGTTTGATTCCTGGTTATCCCATTGTTTTTGCATTTCTCTGCTCCGCATTGGACGTCTCCACCGGACGGGAGTGGTGGATACTTTTGGTTCGGGGTGCGGGGCGCGGCACGGGGTTGAGTGAAAAAGGGCACGGAGTTCGGGGTTGTTTACTTCTCTCATTTTTTCCGCGAGGGCTCGGGAGTTTGTGGGAACACTCTAGAAACTAGCAGTGGTCAGTGAAACCGGCGCTGGCGCTTCAGACCCCATGGTCGGACAGCTCCAATGTGATCAAACAGTCCCCCTCCAGTCTGTTTGATGCCTGTTCTCGCTTCTCTCTGTTTCCCCTATATTATTGAAGGGGAAGGTTTTGGTTCTCGTTTCCCATATTCTTAGGGAATTGAGCTGTGGGTGAGCCTGGAAGATTGAAGTCGCAATGCAATGTGGATGCGTAGTTGCCTTGCCCTGACCAAGCGGGACCGGTGTCTGCACTTTCCTTGACTCCTGCCGAGGAAGGGAAAGAGCCAGGAACACGTTTGATCAATGGTTTTCACCAATCTGTCCGTCTTCTCTCTCTCTCTTTTCTCCCTTTATCGACGACCATACTCAATCCAGTCTGTCTTGTTGTTTTGAGAATTGAAATGTCGATTCCCACGTTCCCCCTCCCTTCCACGCCTACCGCCAGCTCTGGTAGTGCGGCGGATTAGTTGTCCGCCCATTCCACGTTGCTGGGGACGATTTCCGCGGGCGTCGGTATGTTCGTTTCGGTTGGGATTTCGATCTGGGCCGCCAAACGCTCCGGCACGAATGGCACCAACGGCACCAACGGCAGAAACGGCAGAGACGGCAGAGACGGCAGAGACGGCAAGGATGGTGCGGACGACCTGTCTGCCGCCGTCGTGACCGCCCTCCGGGCCACCCTCGACGCCTTCGCCACCACCGCCGCCGCCGCCAACACTGCCGCCACCGCTGCCACCACCGCCACCGCCAACGCCGTCACCGCCGCCGAGAGAGCCGCCGACGTCGCCGCTCGCGATTTGGATGCGGCGGTGACCGAGAGACAGGACACCGCCAATGAGAGGCGGGAGGCTGCCCGCGAGAGAGAGGAAGCCGCCGACGAGAGACGCGCCGCCGCCGCCGAAAGAGCCGGCGCCGTCGCCGCTGCCAAGAGGGCCGTGGCCGCCGCCGCCAACGCCGAAAGAGCCGAGGCCGCCGCCGTCACCGCCAGAGACCAGGCCGTCGCCGCCGCTGGCTGGGGTCCTGGGCATCGCCGGGATACAGTGGCCTCCGCCGCTCACCGCACGGCCCCCCCCCTCTTAAGGATATGGTGAAAACGTGGACCCCAGCACGTTAAAAAAGGAACCCTTCCTGCACCCAAGAAAATCCGGCCCGTTTCTGACGTCTGCGGCAACCCAGTGGGGCTCTGCCAAAGAGGAGAGCGGGTGGTCAGGAAGGGGGACAGCAAAGTCGTACTCTACCCCTCCGCGTTGGGGCTGTCCGGGTTCATCATGTCCAACATGATGAAGCGAAGTAGAGACGCAAGGGCAACACCCATCAATCAGCGGCGTGCCTCATCCACCTATCCACCAGCGGTATCATCCATCAGCGGCATCATCCCAACCATCAGCGGCACCATTTGTCAGCGGTATCATCTATCAGCTGTATAGCGGGCATCATCCTAACCATCGGCAGCACCATCTGTCAGGGGTACCATCCATGAACAGCATCACCCACCAGCGGCATCATCCATAAGCGGTATCATCTATGAGCGGCATCATCCATACATTGGGCATCATTCATCAGCGGCTTCTTCCATTGGCGGTCCAGGGTATCATCCATCAACGGTATCATCTATCGGCGGCATCACCCACCAGTAGCATCACCCATCATGGGAAGTGGTATTTCTCTCAGATCGATCGACCCGGCTATCGGCGATCCGAGCTTCACAAACAGGCGGTCTACCGGGAGTTGAGATCTATTCACAGATCTTTAGCGTCGAGGTTCTATCTCAGCACACCTCTCCCAGGATCAACATCTGGTGCTGGTTCCGTCTCCCCGAGACCAAAGACCGCACCTTTGGTGAGATTGACCTGCTCTTCGAGAACCGGGTCCCGGCAAGGAAGTTCAAGTCCGCCAAGGTTGACCGTAAGTTTCCTATCCGTGCGGTCTCTTTGACTTGCGCAACGTGGTACTAACTTCAAACAGAATTTGCGCATCAGAATGAGTACGTGAATAAGGAGGTCGAGGCAGGGAGGGAGTCGGCTGATCAGGTTGAGGACACCAAGTGAGCCACGAGTTTAACATGTGTTCCGAGTTGTGCCAATTTCTACACAGGTAAAATCCCCCAGCGGGTAGTACTAAACAATAGCATGAAAAGAGACTCCATCTGTCTTGAAAGTGACTTTGTGGCCTTCAGCTTGATCTCTCTACAATGCGACTTCGTGGATGTCGAAGCTCCTCTGACTCCCCGAAACAGACACCGTCGCGTCCGAGTCGCTCTGATCGGTGAAATCCGGTGTCTGACATCCCCCATCCGTCGTTGTCTCATCTGCTTCGGACAGGTCCGCGCTCGCCACATCCTGGTTCACAAGAGCTGCACTCGCCGGGTTGGCTGGTCTTTTTGTGTCAGAGATGAGAAGCGAAACTCTGTCGACGAGGAGACGCAGACACTCAGCATCTCCTCCTTCCCTGGCAGCCTGCAGGGCGTTGACGCCACGCTTGTTAACGTGTGCGACGTCCGCGCCGTGCTCGAGCAGCTCCTTGACTGTGTCAGGCCTCCTTGCCAGTGCGGATCGGATAAGAGCCGTGTCTCCATACAATATGTCGGCGGCATTGACATCGGCGCCCCCTGCCAACAGTTGCCGCATCAGATCGAGAGGAAGGACGCCAGCTCCCCCGATTAGGGGGCTCCCGCCAAACTCAGCATCCACCACCTTGGTCTTGGCATCGTACATGAGCAGCACGCGCACAACCTCCTTGTGGCCCAGGTAGGCGGCTGCGGCAATGTAGCAGAACCCGTTTTCTCTCCCACCACCGTTGGGGTCTGCGCCGGCCCGGAGCAGGCGCTCAGCAGCGTCATGATGTCCCCGCTCAGATGCCGCCTGGAGTGCCGTATTCCACGGAAACCGCCTGTCATCAACTTGTCTGCTTAGTTTGGCCCCCTTCGCGATGAGATGTCCCAAGATCTCGAGGTGCCCCTCTGCTGCGGCAGCCTGGAGGGGCCAGCTGAAAGGAGCATCCACGTCGGCGCCGTGCTTGAGCAGTAGACAAACCAGCTCGGTCGCCCCGTTTTGTGCGGCAATGGCCAAAGCGGTGGGCTTCCATGGCTCGGTTCTAGCGTCGGGCGCAACCTTGAAGGTCTCGAGGAGCACCTGGACCGTCCTTGTCTTCCCACCGAGTGTTGCCGCTTGGAGAGCCTCGGCCAGAGTTTCCTGGCGGATATCCGTCCCAACTGCCTTGCCAATTCTCTCCAGAGCGTCACTGGGTTCGGCCGCGGAACCGGCAATCGCGACGATGGCATCATCCCACTTCACTCCCTTCCAGACAAGCTCTCGTTTTAGAAACACGTCAAGACAGCCCCACTTTTCTACTCTGACAACGCTGTCCAAACCCTCTTGGAAGACTGGTGTACATTTGCCGAGCTCGGGGCTGCGGGCGTTTTGAGTAATGGGTGTCTGGAGCAGAAGATTCATCACATCGCCCCGGCCGGCCTTAGAAGCTTGAGAGAAGACCGCCAGGTATTCTCCCATCTGCATGTGGTCAAGGGAATATCCCAACAAAAGCCTGATAGTTTGCGGATCAGAGAAGCGTGCAGCCAGTACTAGTGGCTGTAAATGCAGACTCTGGTCGCCAGCGGGGTTCCACTTGCCATCCATCCATGCATGAGCTTGGTTGCTGGTTATCAAAGTCTTTACCGCCTCGATGTTGCCCGAGCGTATCGCGCAGTGGATTGCTGGGCCTTGGTCGCTGGATACTGCGTCGACAGAAGCCCCGTGCTTGAGAAGCCACTCCACGCTCTCTTCGTGTCCGGAAATTGCAGCCATGGCCAGTGGTGTCATGAAGCCGTCCTCCATCCCATCGTTTACGTTAGCTTTGCTCTTGATAAGCAGCCTCATGAGGTCGATTCGGCCCTGGTAGGCTGCCAGGTGCAGCGGTGTGTGGTGGTTTCCGTTGCGGGTGTTGACTTCACATTCAACTTCAACGCTATCGAAGGCGCCCCTTGAACGCTCAATCAGGGCGGCAACAAGGCTTGCATGTCCCACAGCCGTAGCCGTATGCAGACCTGTCGAACCCTTGGCAGTGATGTAACTTCCGGGATACGCAACTCCTGACGTGAGAGAAAAGAAATGCTCGTATTCGTTGAGCCATCTCTCTCGGATGCCTGAGTGTTTTCCCCAGAAGTCGTCTTCACAGCTGATCGCTTCAGCAAAATCCTCAGTCGCATCGGACGCGTGATCGACCCAGTGTTCTATCGAGTACTGACAGGGAGTGTCCTTGAGGTCAGCGAAGCACCTCCAGGCTAGCACACCGTGCTGGCGCTTCTGCCCATCGTCATGAAGTTCAAGAAGATCGGCTGCCCTGTTCTTCATGGGAAGTTCGACGTTCTTTCCGGGCACAAAGACCACAGCGCCGTCATCCTCACGCTGGATCAGCAGCTCCTTGCATCGAGCCAGTAGACACCACACCCTTTCCGGGCTGGTTGACAGACCGGCAAGGACCGCCAGTTCTTTTGGCTTTGGACTTCTCTTGCAAATTACCAGTGCCCTGAACATTTCCTTAGCATCTTCAACAAACTGAACGTCGGTGCTGTCAAGCAGCCGGTTCCATTTTGCTACGAACGGCTCGGCCATATTCTGCACCATCTTCTTGAGCCGATGTCTGACATGGGGGGTCTTCTCCAAGTCTAGAATTTCGCGCAAGTAGACGTTGACAATATCGATCCAGTCTGTACCCGAATTCAAGGCATTGGCTTCTTTGGCCATGAGAGAGCTCACAAAGTAAGAAAAGGCCTTATCGTACCCCTTTTCACTCGCAAGAGCCGAGAC